CAGAAGGGGGCAGCTGATGCTCAGCTCTGGCACATTGTTGCCGGTCCTTCTGCAAAGCCAGGAGTGGTGCCCTGGGGGTGGGGGTGGAGGCCTCCTGACCTCCGCCAGCACCAATCCCCCCCCCCTCCACCAAGCGGCTCCAGATGACAACATGTACATCATGTCCTTTGATATGGACAATTGACTTTTTTTTTCTTAGCTTTAAGTAAAATGTGAATAAAAGCATCTTCAGAAAATGTTGCATTTTGAAGTTAATTTGTAATGGACAACCTATATAAAAATAATGAGCTTGCCATGCCGACACCAGCTCTTGACAAGTCCCTGAACCACCATTTCCCTTGCAATTGAATTGCAGCCCTTAAGCCCTTAAGATCTAGGAGTTCAGTGTCTAGATCTTTAGATTTTTTTTTTTTTTTAAAGATAGCCTGGGGGTGCCTGGCTGGCTCATTCGGTGGAGCATGGGACTCTTGATCTCGGGGTTGTGAGTTCATGTTGGGTGTAGAGATTACTTAAAATTAAAATCTTAAAAAAAATAAAAAAAAATAAAGATAGCCTGAAAAGCTGGACTTTCTTGGTATGAAATCTGATTTTTAAATATGGGTTCCGTTTAGAAAATGCTCTGTGGGCCCTTAAAAGATAGGTGCAAAGGCAGCTTTTGACTTCTGCAAGCATGTCTCATTTACTCCTTAGCACGCTTAGATGAGAGGGATGCCTAGTTCTCATTCTGATGGGGAAACTGGGTCAGAGAGGCCAAATCACTTGCCCAAAAGTCACACAGGAAGGAAGGGGTCTGTTTCTATAGGTTGTGCACTCTTTCTATTTATAGTATACTGCCTTTCCTCCTCTTAAGGTCTGATTGGTGCATCCCATGTCTTTGTTCTCTAAAGAGGCTCCCTTCAGCTTCAGGCCCTTCCTTCAGGTAGAGCTTCTGTCAGCCCACATTCCTCATTTGGCACCATCTTCTTGCTGGCCTTGTTTTCTGATCCCACTCCTTCTTTGCATGGTTTATGGGGCACCGATGGACCCTGGATGTGAGCCCCATGCAGGTCCTCCTTGTACTTTCTTCCCATGAGCTTCTCTGTCCTCCGTATACCTCAGTGATCAGACTTGGCTATAAAAAGCAGTCTATTTCTTATTGGTTCCCGATCAGCAGCTGGTATGTGTCGTCAGATGGTTTCCTAAAGCTAGCTGGGAATGGCAGAAAATCCCCTCTCTTGGAGATTTTGGCATTTCTGCTCCTAAGGCCTGCATATGATGTGTGTTTCTCTAGTCTTAGGTTAAGAGGGTCTGGGTTAGAGCCCAAGAGGGCCAACACAGGGCATACCTATATCTGTCATCTGGGGGTTACAGATTTGATCTCTTTAAAATATTTGCAAATCCTGACAACTTTTTGTTACGTCCACACTACTACCTCATTTCAAGCTAGATTATTGTAGTAGCCACGTGACTTGTTCCTCTGCACCCGCCCTTGCCCTCCTATAGTCTGCTCTCCCACACAGCATTTAGAACAGTCTTTTATTTTTTAATTTAATTTTTATTTTTTTATTATGTTCAATTAGCCAAACATATAGTACATCATTAGTTTTTGATGTAGTGTTCAACGAGTCATTAGTTGTGTATAACACCCAGTACTCATTACCACACGTGCCCTCGTTAATACCCATTAGAACAGTCTTTAAAAAAATATAAATGTAGGGGCACATGGGTGGTGCAGTTGGTTAAGCATTGGACTCTTGGTTTTGGCTCAGATAGTGATCTCATGGTTGTGGGATTGAGCCCTGAGTTGGGCTCCATGCTCAGCAGGGAGTCTGCTTGAGATTCTCTCCCTCACCCTCTGCCCTCCCCCCCACTCGTGCGCACGCACTGTCTCTCTCTCTGGAATAAATAA